GGACTCAGGCGCAGCAACAATTGTGAGATTGGCCCAGGACTGGGCACTGTTTCATTCTGTTTTGCATTGGGTTGCTATGAGTCAGTACTGGCTCAATGACATCTAACAGTAACAACAACACAGGAATTAGAAATTAAAGTGGAATGGCATTTCATTCATTATCAAAAAGATCATTTTAAGATCTATCCTGAAATACAGTGTTATCAATGATGAGGTAACAGCTATATACCTGCAAGGAGAGCAGCTTATAAAACTATCATTCAAATTTATGTCCTGGTGTGGCGCTGTGGGCTAATGTGTCAGACTGCAAAGTCATTTGAACTGCAAGGTCAGTGGTTCAAACTCACCACCTGCTCCTTGGAAACCCTATACAGGGACGTTATGGGCCAGAATCAACTCAACAGCACTCAACAACAACAACAATTTCAAGTATGCAGAAACTGATTTTTACCAACTTCTGCAATTTGAAATTGATGAAACATGGAGTCCAGATGCATCGATAATGCCTGATGATTGAAATGTTGAAGTTGGAAATTAACAAGTAGGATTAGTAGATGGAAAACATGGCCTTGGGGATATAAACAATGCCAGAGATCGCAAATTAGGATTTTGCAAAACCAACAACTTATTCATTATCATCACTGTTGTTAGGGGATACCAATTTGGTTCTGACTAGTAGCAACCTTATGTATAACAGAATAAACAACTGCCTGGAACAATAGTCTTGTGTCATCCTCACAACTGTTGCTATGCTTGGAGACGTTGTAGATTCTGTGTCTATCATCTCACTGAGGGTCTTTCTCTCTTTTACTGACCCGTTACTTTAGCAAGTATAATGTACTTCTCTAGGGACTAGCCTCTCCTGATAACATGTCCAAAGTACATGAGAGACAATCTCCCTATCCTTCATTCCAGGAAGCGCTCTGGCACCTCTTCCAATACAGACTGTTTCATTCTTCTGGCAGTCCATGGCACATTCAATGTTCTTCATCAACACCATACTTTAAAGGCATTAATTGTTCTTCTTGGATCTTACTCATAGTCTGGCATTCACATGCATATGAGGTAGATGAAGATACCTTGGATTAGGTTAGTAATACCCTAGGCCTTAAAGTGATGTCTGCGCTTTTTAACATTTTGAAGAAGTTTTTTCTGAAGCCAATTTGTCCAATTCAAAATATCATTTGATTTCCTTAGTGCTGTTTTCATGGGCATTGTTTATGGATCCAAGTAAAATGAAATCTTTGGTAACTCCCATCTTTTCTTTGTTTATCATGATGTTATTTATTGTAATCATCACATTTGCCTAAACAGAATGAGGTTCAATAAATCAGCTTGGGAGTGTATTCTCAGAGGTGGCTGTGCAGAAAAATAAACGGATATCTCCTTTGTTGTAAAAACCCAATCAAAGACTAGATTTGTGGTGCTTTTACCGGAAATGCTAACTGCATCTTGGCCCTTCAAGACAGGAATCTTGCCTTTTACTGATTAAGAATAGTTAGGGTTTCCATACGAGCAACATTTTATTATAGGAAGAATGCTTGCAAGCAGAGACAGGAGGTCTTAATGCAAAGCTTAATACTTGTCTCCCTGAACAAAGTCTTTGTTGGGATGTTGAGCATGCATGGCTCTTTGGGACCCTAATTCAGATTCCTCCTAGGGACTGGAATTCTCCTCTTCCAGTAGAAGGTTTGTCCTTTAAAATTATGTATAGGGCATTGGGTAAATCAGTCCAACCTGTAAAATATCTCACAAGGAATTTAAAAAATATCAGATTTTTATGTCTGGTCTTGCTTATGGCCATGTCTGATAAAATACAGAATTTTAAAGAGTGGTCTTCATTAATGGAATGTCCCAGCATGTAGCTGCTCAGCATCCTGGACATGCCCTGCACATGTTTACAATTGCTTTCTAGGAGGGGCATAGTCTTCAACATTCCTCAGGATTTGGGCCACAAGATTGCTGTCAATAAATCCTCCTGTTAACAGTGCTAAGGCAAATGGTTATTGCTGTTCAGAGATTTTTGTAAGAAAATGTATTGACATTTCTTTGAGAAAAAGCAGAATGAAAATGAAAAATTTTTAAATCCGGTTAAAAATACTTAATGTACCAAGTGTTAGCAAGAATGTGAAACAACTAAATACATTGTTGGCAAAAATAAATTAAAAAATGGTAGAGCCACTTAAGAAAACAGTCTGGAGGATTCATTTTCAATTAAATATATGACCAAGTAATTCAACTCTTAGGTATTTACCCAAAGGAAAGCTTTAGATAGATGTTTTAGAACAGTTTCGTTTATATTGTAACTAACAAAAAATATCCTTCATTTGGAGAATGGACAAATAGTATATGGAGTTCAATAATAGATAAAACAGAACAATACAAAAGATTCTGTTACTGATAAGGTAAGAATATAAATAAATCTCAACTACATTATGCTAAGGGGCAAAAGAATAGTCTCAAAGAAACTGATATACTGTATGTAAGGTTCTATTTCCATGACATTCCTGCAAAAGTAAAATTATGTGGAGACTACAGTTAAATGGTTCTCAGGGATAGTGGTTGGTAGAAGGGGATGGCCACATAGAAGATTGGGAGAAACTTGGTAGGTGATGCAACTGTGGCTGCAGAAGTGGCTATATGGCCGTAGACTTTTGACCAGAGTCTTATAATTATGTTCCTGTATTAGAAATTGTGAACCACCAGCTGCTCCGTGGGAGAAAGATGAGGCTTTCTGCTCCTGTAAAGATTTACAGCCTCGGAAACCCTGTTCAGGGTCGCTATGGGTCGGAACCGATTCGACGGCACTTAACAACAACAAATAAAAAATTAATTAGAAAGTTTTTAAAAAACAAAAGTAGAAATGACAAATAATGCCCATACATGTGTGTGCACTCATCAGACCCAGCTAGGTTCCCATGGGAAAAGTAATTGCTTCTTATCTAGGTAAATGGGATTCAGAGCTGAGGAGTCCCTCAAAGGGAACAGTCCCTGAGAGTTGTGTGTTTTTATAACTCCCTTCTGGTTCCCACATATCTGAAATATCAACAGAACTTCACATGATACCATATTGGAGGGACCTAATTGTGCACAGAGCTTCTTTAAATGATCATTTATTCTAATGAATGCTGACAGTTATAGTGCATTTACCAACCTTCCTCCAAACTGAGTATTTGCATGTGTCTTCAGCAACATCCAGGGAAAATAACTGAAAAGAAAAAGTATACTGAACAGCTGGAAAATCAGAATTCCTTCATGATTTGTTTTATAGACCTTTCCTCATTTGCTCTTCACAGCCAAAATTCTGTTAATTATATGGGAGATATCCTTTTATGATGTTTATCTTACAAATAAGGAGAAAGTAAATGACCCCTTCAAGGGCAGAGAAAATGCATGGCACATGCAAGATTTCAATCTAAATTCCCTGCTGCATGTTCTTTTCTTCATCTTTCCCTGGAATCTTTTAACCAATACATGATAGAGAACTTTTTAAATAGTGTGTATGCATTATTCCATGATTGAATTTCTGATTGCAAGCTCATAATTTAGAATTGCCTTTCTTTTTTTTGCCAGCGACTAAGGTAAGCATTTTGGATTTTGTACAATTTTAGTGACTAGAGTAACAATGAAAAAACAATAAATTCTTTGAGTTTACAATGAAATCTTGGAATTTTTTTTTCTAAAAACCATGAGGTAAGGCTGGAATATAAACATCAAAATTTCCATCCTTATGTAGTTCATTGATACTTATGAAACGTCATGTTGCTTTCTTTAAAAGTGGGGAAAGAAATAAAAGATGCTCTGACTGAGTGTTGTTTTTAAGTGTTGTAAGGTCAGTTTTCACTCACAGCGACTGTAGAAAAGGTTTCCAAGTGTCTAATGAAAGGCAAGTATAGGAATGAGGGTTATTGTTGTTGTTAGGTACCGTTGAGTTGGTTCCGACTCATAGCGACCCTGTATAAGGTTTCCAAGGAGTGGCTAGTGAGTTTGAACCGCTGACCTTGTGGGTCAAACCTGACCTTGCAGTCCAGTGCTCTGTCCTGTAGTGCCACACCAGGACTCCAGCAGTGACAGTACCAGGTGTTAAAAACTCATTCATTCTTTCACTGACTACTCACCGTTCCCAAAACTCACAGAGAGACCATCTTAAGATCCTCATATTATTTCTAATGTTATACCTAACACTAACCTTAATGGGCTGTGCTAGAACCAATGTTACTCATTTTTAAATGTATTGTTTCATTTAATTCTCATAATACTATCTTAATTTTAAGATTTTTTTTATTACCATTATTTTACAGCTAGAGAAAATGAGACACAGTTGAATTAGATTCAGACCAACAACTCCTGTGGTGGTGGTTATGTGCCGTGGAGTAGGTTCCGACTCATAGCGACCCAGTACAGGGTTTCCGAGGCTGTAAATCTTTACAGGAGCAGAAAGCCTCATCGATCTCCCACAGAACAGCTAGTAGTTTCGAACTGCTGACCCTGAGATTAGAGGCCCGATTCAGCAGTTCAAGCTTACCAGCCACTCCTGGGAAATCCTATACAGGGTCACCATGGGTTGGAGCCAACTCGACAGCACTTAACAACAATATCAGCATTATATACCAGTGACTGGGCAAATATATGCTATATTTTACTTTCTGCTGATTGAGTTTTCAATAATCAGTGATCAAGATACGGTGGAAAAAGGGTCCCCCTCTGTAGTACAATCTGTACTCCCAATTATATGTTGCACCAAGCAAGGTAGAATGTGCCCCAAAGTCATAATCTGGGTCCCTGTGATAACCACAGTCAGGAGAAACAGTCTAGTGTCTTCTCATGCCATTTTAAGATGAATGGCCCTCTTGCCCCATCCCTGTCCATAACTTAGTTCTGAACAGGAAGTTGGTGGGTGCATGTGAGCAAGAAACTCGGGTCACTCTTTAACTCTCATGGTAGTGTTCACATTTTGTGTTTTCTCGTCTTGCATAGGTGCCTCATCTGATGATTTGCCAATGACTTTAATGGAGAACATCTCAGAAGTGACTGAATTCATTCTTGTGGGGTTAACAGATGCCCCAGAGTTGCAGATCCCTTTATTTATAATCTTCACTGTCATTTACTTCATTACTCTGGTTGGAAACATGGGGATGATAGTGTTGATTCTGTCAGACTCACGTCTCCACACTCCCATGTACTTTTTCCTTAGTAACCTTTCCCTAGTGGACTGTGTTTATGCCTCAGCAGTCACTCCCAAGGTGATGATGGGGTTTCTCACAGGAGATAAGGTCATCGCCTACAATGCATGTGCTGCCCAGATGTTCTTCTTTGCAGCCTTTGCCACGGTTGAAAGTTTCCTCCTGGCTTCAATGGCCTTTGACCGCCATGCAGCAGTGTGTAAGCCCCTGCATTATACCACCACAATGACAAGTACTGTGTGTGCTCTGCTGGTCAGTGGCTCATACATCTGTGGACTCTTGCAATCTTCCATCCATGTTGCGTTCACTTTCCACCTCTCCTTCTGTCATTCCAATGTGGTTAATCACTTTTTCTGCGATATCCCCCCACTACTGAGTCTCTCTTGTTCTGATACCTATACAAATGAGATTGTGCTCTTCGCCTTGGCAGCGTTCAATGTCTTTTGTACTCTTGTGGTTATCTTGAACTCTTATCTGTTCATTTTCATTGCTATCCTGAGAATGCGCTCAGCTGAGGGACGAGAGAAGGCCTTTTCTACCTGTGCTTCCCACCTTGCCGCTGTTTCTATCTTCTATGGGACAATCATTTTCATGTACTTACAGCCAAATTCCAGTCACTCCATGGACACAGACAAAATGGCATCTGTGTTTTATACTATGGTCATCCCCATGCTGAACCCTTTGGTCTACAGCCTGAGAAACAAGGATGTCAAGAGTGCCTTCAAGAAGGTTGCTGAAAAAGTCAAGTCTTCATTGGGTTTAACCTATTAATTGAAGTAGTACACAAACCATGAAAAGCTTCTGCTAGGCCTCACCCCTTTACCTTTGAGACAATTCTAACTCATGGCATCCCCATGTTTGACAAAGTGTATCTGCATCCCATATGGTTTTCAGTGGTTGTAGTCTTATAGAGGAGTCCTGGTGTGGTGATTATAGGATAAGCACTGGACTGTTACCTTCAAGGTTGGCTTTTCAAACCCACTGACCACTCTGTCTAGGGCTATACCACCCTGAATGTGCCCAGTCACACCTGATCTCAGAAGTTAAGCAGGGTTAGGCCTGGTTGGTACTTGGATGGGAGACTTGAGTTCTGTAGGTTTTTTGGAGTCCTTATGTGATGCTTTGGGTTAATGTGCTTGACTGAAAGGTCTGTTTGAGCCACGAGGTCAGCAGTTCAAGCTTATCATCTGCTCCTTGGAAACCCTATACAGGGTAACTGTGAGTTGGAATTGACATGACGAAACTTAATAACAACAACAACAACAAAGCCACTCCTTGGAAAGCCTACAGAGAGTTGGAACTGACTCAACAGTGCTTAAAAGCGACAGTTTTTTTTAGAAGAAGAATGCCAGTCCTTTTGTCTATAGCATCACTGTGTGCATTCTGTCTATTTTTCCACTAGTACCAAAACTCAGACCCACTGCCGTGGAGGCAATTCTGAATCATAGTGCTCCTGTGTAGGACAAAGTCATGCTCCGGAGGGTTTCTAAGGAGCAGAAATCTTTCCAGGAGCAGACAGCCTCATCTTCCTCCCACAGAGCAGCTGGTAAGCAGTTCGATGCTTAGTACACATTGATAACAAATCTAGGAACCTATTGGTCCTCTAGCATCTGAGATTTTTAAAAATTTAATTCTTTCTTTTCTTTCATTTCTCTAAGCAATTCCTTTCCATATGGGGTCTGTTCTATTCATGCTTTAGGAAGGACTGAGGTACAGGAGAATTTGGAAGTCTTTTTCCAGAAAGAGGATGCCACTCCTATCTTAAGCACTGTACTGCTTACTGCAAGATCCGCAGTTCAAGCCCACCAGCCACTCCTCAGAAGGCAAACAACAACAGCCCATCCAGCCCTCACTCATAGATCGTGTCATAATGAGTCAGAACTGACTCGGTGACACTTGACAACAACAACAACAACATACCTTACCATCAAGATTATTATCCTCGATACTACAGGACCCCACCCTGCACTACTCTATTGGTCTAAGGTGCTTTGCAGATAAACCTCATAAGTGTATGATTCCAGAATTTGCAATTCTCAGAATTCAAAAGACCTCCATGATTCTTGCGCAGAGCATAGAGCTGTGGTTCCTAGACTTTAGAACACTCAGGAGCCACTCTGAGACAATATGGAAATGCAGATTCCTAGGATCTAATTCCAGATCATCTGATTTAGTATATCTGTTAGAATCCAGAAATCTGTTGAATTTTCCTTAATTATCTACATCTCTCTGGAACCTGAATTTCCTTCCAGGAAATCCAAACTCAATGGTGAATTTGGATAATGAGAGATACCATGTAATCTAAATCTATTTAGTTCCTGACTTTTAGATAATAGAGTTTGGAAAGCAAGAGACTCAGCCATCCAAAAATATATCCACAGCTATTCTTTACCTGGAGTCCTGGTGTGGCATTGTAGGATAAGCACCTGACCTCAAAGTCAGTTTAAACTGCAAGACTGAGGATTCAATCAAGCCCTATACAGGGTTGCTATGGGTTGGAACTGACTCAATGGCACTTAAGCGTTTAGTTACTAACCTGACTCATTCAGGAAGGTTGTTGAAAAAGTAAAGTACGGGAGTGGCATCATGAAACTGCACTCTATTGGGTTTTCATGACTGTGATCTTTTGGAAGCAGATTGCTAGGTCTTCCTTCAGAGGTAATTCTGGGTGAGTTTGAATTACCAACATTTGAGTTAATAGCTGAGTGTATAATCGTTGGCACCTCCCAGGGACTCCATTTACCATCTAGTGGCTACTAAATTATTTGCAAATGCTATTTTATTTCACTCCTCCACTAGCTCTGGACTCCTGGTATGATGCTGTGGGTTAATGTGCCAGACTGCAAAGCTGTTTGAAGTGCAAGGTTGGCAGTTCAAACTCAGTAGCTGCTCCTTGGAAACTCTATACAGGGCTGCTGTGGGTTGGAACTGACTTGATGGTACTTAACAACAAAACACTAGCTCTAGAAACCCTGATGGTATAGTGGGTTACATGTTGGGCTTCTAACTGCAGATCAGCAGATCAATTCCACTAGCCGATCCACAGGAAAAAGATGAGGCTTTCTGCTCCCACAAAGATTTCCAGCCTGGATATCCAACACAGGGTCACTATAAATTGGAATTGACTTGATGACACACAACAACACTAACACTTAGAGGGGTAACCATATAGAAAGGAGGAAACAGGTTCAGACATGATGTCACATAGGTAGAAGAGGGCAGAACCAGAATTCGAACCCAATCCTTTGGGATTCCAAAACACATCCTTTCCAGTTTAATTCAGCTAACAACTGCTGCATATCCACAACACACTGTGGTTCATAGAATCCCTAATCCACATGCATAATAAAATGGCTGCTTGCCACGCTTTCTCTCTCCCTACTAGAATTTCCTCTCTTCCTACCGGAACTTCCTCTCTTCCTACCGGCATGTCATCCCTAGTCAACCTATCACCTACCTCCACTAATCTCAACCCCTCTCTCCTCTTTGACCAGTATAAAACCCCTTCTACCTGCAAGCTCTATCTCTTCCTTCTGACCACCAATAAAGCCTTATACGTGGGTGTTTGTGTTCCAACTCATTCCATCTCCCAGTGATGGGCATAAACAATACTGTTGTTGTTATTAATTAACATCGAGTAAATTCTCACTCATAGTAACCCAGTATAGGGTTTCTGAGAAGCGGCTGGTGAGTTTGAATGTTAAACTTGCAATTCAAGCCAATCTTGCAGTCCTGCACTTATCCTACAGAGCCACACCAGGACTCCAATATTAAGATGAGAAAATATCCACTTTCTCAAGGGACCACTAGACTGCTCAAAATAGCACAATTATTTTTGTAATTAAAGCATTGCAAGGCCTGGGAGGAACATCAGAGAATCTGAATGACATTAACCTAGCATTTTCCTTGAGGTCTGAATCTTCTTCAGTATTAGTAATCTGAAGCTATTCCAAATCCCTACCCCTTCATCACAACACTAAGTAGGAGCATATTTTAAAAGTCTAGCTTTAGAAGTTGTCTAGCTCTGTTCATGTGTTTTCATCACTTATAATGAAGCCCTCATTATCTGGGAAGACTTTTCATCCCTGTTTTCTAGAAACTTTGTACTACATAAGGTGAACCTTCACTTAAATAATGAAACTGAGAGGGAAAATTTGCATGCTTCAGTGAGCATTCACTTGCAAGAATGCTGAAGACCATAAACCTTAAAATCGGATGTGTTCGTCTTCACCAAATCCCAAATGTACCAGTGCTTCATTGAGAAGAAGTAGGAAGAAGCCATTAAAAGATAATTGCATCCTGATAGCCTTCCTGCCCTGGCCTTTTCAGTCTTGATGGGTGGGTGTGGGCTGTTAATCACATAGAGTTGAGCAGCACATACAGCAGGGATTTATTCAACTCCAACACCCTGTGTGGGAGCATAGTGTCTCTATAGGATAAGCACTGGTCACAGAACCACAAGGTCAGTGGTTCCAGACCACCAGCCACTCAGTAGGAGAAAGATAAGGCTTTTTTGTCCTCTTATCTTATCTGAGGCTATAAACAAAGACTTACAGCCTCAGAAACCCTATAGAGGGTTACTTTGAGTTGGAACCAAACTTAACTACCACAACATCCTGTGCTGGACAGCAATAAGAATAAAATGAAAATTTATGCATATTCTGTCAAATATACTTCTGTTACTTTTTAGTAAAAAAAAAAAAAGAACAATGGATTTGTATAGCTAGCAGTTTCTCTCTGGATTATTTTCTGAGAAACAGAAGCATCAGGAACAGCAAAATGAGCTCTAACACTCCTCCAAACCACTAACTGGGACCCTGACTTGTAATAAGACAATGCATTCAAGAGTAATAACAAGGAGAGATCCATTCCTGTGTGCACAGAGATGGGAAGTAACATCCTTGGTGACCGAAAGCAATTCACTCAGGCACAATCAAAACCATAAAGCCATGATGGGGTTTTCCACGAGCTAAAAAATGAGCTCTTGTGTGGCATCTTGTGGGGATTGTAAGTTTCTATGGCTAGGCATCAGGTTGTACTCCTCTGTCTCACCCTCTACCAGGCTTCGTTTTCAAAACTACTCTTACTGTTAATCAGAATAATACATGGATAATAATAAGAATAATGCATGGAGTCCTGGTGGCACAAACAGTTAAGCTGTGACATTTCAGAAGCAGATCTCTATGTCTGTCTTCTGAAGTGTCCCTGGGAGGGTTTGAACCGCCAATGTTTCTACCAGTAGACCAGTATGTATCCATCAGCACCACTCAGAGACATAATGTACATATATATTGCTGTTCTTGTTTTTAAGTACCGTGAAGTTGGTTCAGACTCACAGTGACCCTACACAGGGTTTCTGAGGCTGTAAATCTTTAAGGAAGCAGAACACCTCCCGCAGAACAGCTGGTAGTTTTGAACTGCCGACCTTGAGGTTAGCAGACCTATTCATAACCACCACGCTACCAGAGCTCCTTACATATATATTGTTGTTGCTGTTAAGTGCCGTCATATATATTACACATGTTTAAAGCTCTTAATGTGTCAACTATATTTGCTTTTTGTTTGTTAATGTACATATCTACATTGGGCTGCTAACAATGCTACTCCCAAGGTAGTTTCTATGTTTAGTTTTAATAACACTCATTGTAGAGTTATTACATTAAAATTCCTGTTAAATGTATTTTGACAACAATTTAAGAAGAGATACTTCAACAAATTTAGGATATTTATTTTTTTAAAAAACTTTTATTGAAAATTAAATGTGATGCTGT